AATTCAATAGTTCAATCATATCAAGAAGAATTGTAAAATCATTACCACAATCAATTTTAGAGCATTTTCTTGCCCCCCGAAGGTTATATCACCTTTAAGATGAGATTCTGCTACCCCTCACCTCTACATTCCTTATAAACCCTTGCACCAGTTATTATCTCTATGCATCCCCTCCTTGTGTGCTTCACAAACTGGAAAACCCCACAGAAACAATAAAAAATAAAAATGAAATAAAGTGGTAAGGGTAAAATAATAATAATATAAAGATAAAAATACCAATCACTGGTAAGAAAGAAAAGGCCACCTTCAATATTTAAAAAGTCAGGGATGAAATTTTTGTCATGGAACAAGTAAGAGATGCTTGTACTTAGAACAAATTCAGGTCAAGAGGGAGGTCACCTGACTCAGTATCAAGTGTGATCCAGTATAATCAAGATTGCAATGATCTCTTTTGGATAGTAAGACTGTTCCAGACCTTTGCCTGTGGCTAGAGTGAATCTGCCAGCAGCTTCATCTGACTAGATACCCTGCAGATTGGTTTTGGGCTCCCCCTGTCCTCCACAGCCTGCTAAAATAGGGTGTTCGTAATTTTAGCTCTGATACTTTTCTCTTTATCATATTTGAATTTTGCTTATTCAGGGGCTATGCATGACTCAGGTTTACTTGGGGGTCCTATTTTGACAAAATCAAAACCCTATAAGACCAACTACACCAACAACAGCAACAAACCAACCAGCAAGCAACTATCCAAGAAACAAATTAAGGCAGGAAAACAAAAACTCACAGAAACAAGATTACAACTAAGCTGTAGTACTTACAGAGCAGAATGCCAGCTCTTTCCTCCAGTGCAGCAACAGTTGGGTCAAAACTCCGATCCTTCCCTTTGCAGCTGAGCAGCTAACCATTGCATCCCCAGGGCACCTTCCTTATATAATGCCACTCATAGTGGATTAGGGTGGCACTGTTGGGTAAGCATTGGACTACTAACCACAAGGTCAGTAGTTCAAATCTCTCTCTCCCTCAGGGAAAGATAGAGTTACCTGTTCCTGTAAAGATTGGCAGCCTAGGGAATCCTGCATAGAGTCATTATGAATCAGAATCCATTTAATGGCAGTGGACTTTCAGTGCTACTCCAATATGTTAACTGATAGCATCTCAACGTATTTCCAAAGTCACACACAGCTACAGGTGATTAGGACTTAAAAATATCTTGGGGGAGGAGCACGTTTCCATTCATAATTCTACCTTAAACCAAGAGATCAGACTTAATTTTACTAACGATGGGACAAACTGAAATCACATACCACCTGAAGTGGTACGTGAATCTATTACCAACGAAAAGTCCTTCCTCTATCAATTTAACATTTAATGTAAATCTCAACTTGAAGAAATAACCAAATACATGTTGAAGAACTTTCTGCAATCTATTTGGCCTCGGTGCTTCAAAATGTCACGTTAGACTCAATGGCTGGTGAACTATTTGGCATTAAAGGTAAGGTGACTAGATTTAAAGCGGGACACCATTAACCGGGGATGGGGGATGTGTTCGTGATTAAAAATTTGGTCTATATGGACCAAATAGACCGTTCCCTAGATTGTCGTGCATTCTTTCCAAAAATCGGGACTTTTTTAAAATGCCAAAAAGCAGGACGTCTGGTCACCTTATTAAAGGAGACAAGCCAACAAAATGCCACATGTGTCCTTGGTTTGCTCCTAGCTGCAGAGTGGGGAAGATAACAGCTTTAAAGTGAGGTAACTTTTAGAAACACACATGAAGATGTAATGGGATAAAGTGTTCGCATCTGTAACTACCTCTCACATGGTTCATCGACGAATAAAAAGGTGTGTGCTTGAGTGCATATATAGACAGAGAAAACGAGGGAGAAATGAGGGAAATGTGGTAAAATATTTAGCAGGATCGAACTTAAGTGAAGAGTACATAAGTATTTCTTGTAGTATGTTTTTTCCAGTTTGAAAATATGTAGTCGGAGGAAAAAGTAATTTGGTTGGCCCTTACTGATCTAGGCTGTGCCTCAAACATAAAGATGGCTCAGATGGTCCGGGTCACTTTTATAGGAGGGGGGCTTCACAAAGTTCATGGGGACACTCTGTTGTCTTTTCGTTTCATTACTCATAAACGCTTCTCTCTCGGTATCTGTGGGAGTCCGGTTCCAGGACACCATGCATGCACCAAAATCCACAGATACTCAGTCCCAGGTGTAACCAGCATGCACACATCCTCCTATATTTTTAAAATCATCTCTAAATTATCTATAGTACATAATGGAGAGAGGGCTTCATAATGTTCGTGGGAAAATGGCATTAAAAGAAAATGGAATCTTTCCACGGATTTTTGAAACACCTTCCTACAATATAATTACTAGGAAAATAGTACTTATGCTCCCTCTTAGTCTTTCGGGGATTTGACACTTGATTGCTTCTTATATCACTGCCATCAGATCGACTCCTAGTGACACTAAAGAAGAGAGTTCTATTGCCACAAGACTAAATCTTTCCCAGAATAGAGTGCCTCATCTTTCTCCCACAGAGAAGCTGGTGGTTTTGAACTTCTGGCCCAGCCATTAGCAGCCCAATGAATAGCTCACTACGCCCACAGGGCTCCTAATTGCTTTTTAGACGTCTTTTTTTTTTTCTCACAACAACAAAGGGAGCCCACAACACAAGTAGTTAACAAACAAGACGTAAAGTGAACAATGCTCAAGTCAGTGCTGGTGAGAAACTGAGGACCCGTGAAATGTAGGGCGGGGCCATTGCACCAGGCAGCCATGTCTCCTCATTCACATGGGTTCTGTGTCATGCTTGGCATAAGGCAAATTCCGATGTTACTTTCTGGGATTTTTTCAGGGTATTTTTCATCCATGGCTGGTTTAATCTCTGCATGCAGAACCCACAGACACAGAGGACCAATGATACCTACATTGTTTTTTCCCACCCGCTGATATAGAAATAATGTAATTGAGGTAGCATGTTCCGTGGAAACAGCATGAAACCAGGCAAAATGAAGCTAAATCTCACTCCCATCACTTGGCAGTGTAATTTGAAGAAATAACTTAAGATCGCTGAGCATCATTTCTTCAGCTGTAAAATGAAATAATAGTAGTACTGTGCTGTTAAAGAGAATTAGTGATGTGCCAAATCTCCATAGAGCTTAAGAAATAATAGTGTTCTTCCCTTTTGAAACTCACATGAAAGTCATTTCCAGTTCAGGCAAGGTGTGGGCAAGCGTTTTTGTTTTAGGAAGGGGAAAGTAGAATTTGAGTGCTGGGTTAAACTGAGAGCCCAGGTGGTTGAAGCACTCAGCTGCTAAGGGAGAGGTCAGCAGTTTGAACCCACCAGCCACTGGGAGAAAGAAAGGGCAGTCTCCTTTCCTAAAGATGACCACCCCACCCCGCCAGTTCCCTATGGGGCCACCTGCGGGTCCAGAATCATCGGATAGCTTAGGCACAAGTAGAGCATACCATTTCTTTTCCGCTTCTTTCCATATTCATAAACTAAGCTCGCTGTGCCCTCTTCGCGCCTCGCCACCCTCGCGGTTCAGCTCTCCATTTCTCAGCTTTGGGATTTCCTAAGGTCTTTCTAATATAACCCC